GTCGTGGTTGCCGTCGTTTTGGCGTCGGCGTCGGTGCGGAGGGGGCGCGCGCGGAGGGGGCGTCCTGCCCGCGCTCGCCCGGCGGCGCCAGAGGTGCGGGCGGTCCCATGGAGCGGGGCGGCCCCGCGGGCTCGCGCAGGTCGCAGGCCATTCCGGTGCGCGCCAGAGCAGGGGGAGGGAGGGAGGGAGGAGGGAGGTAGAGGGAGAGGGAGGGAGGGAGGGAGGGCAGGGGGGGGGGGGAGGGAGGGGGGGGGAGGGAAGGGAGGGAGGGGGGAGGGGGAGAGGGGAGGGGAGGGAGGGAAGGCAGGGGGGGAGGGAGGGGGGGGGAAGGGAAGGGAGGGAGGGGGGGAGGGGGGGGAGCGAGGGAGGGAGGGAGGCGCGTGCGAGAGGCGCGCCGAGGTGTGGAATGATATGCGCAATGGTTTGGCGTGGTGTTTTTGCGTTGCGTTTTTGCGTCGTGTTGTTGCGTAGTGTTTTTGCATCGTGTTTTCGCGTGTTGTATTCGCGTAGTGTCTGCGCGTAGCGTTTTGGCGTAGTGCTTCTTCGTGGTAAATGTGCGCAGTGCTCTCGTGGAGGGTATTTGCGTCGCCGCTTGGCGTGGAATACTTGCGTCGAGTATTTGCGTAGCGTTTTCCGCGTAATGCATTTCGTGTAGCGAATGGACGTTGCATTTCCGCGTGGAGTTAACTTTCCGCGTGGTGTTTTCGCGAAGTGTTTTCGCGCCATGCGTTTCCATGATCGACCCAGGAACTTGGAAAGGAATTCAGAACAGCGAAGCCTGGGGACGCTTCCCAGCACCTCAATCGAGCGATGGGCAATGACAGTGCTGGAGATGTCCGTGGTGACGCTACTGTGCAGAGGGCTGTGTCGTGTTCCTCTGCGCTGTGCCGCGCCGCACTTTGACATGAAAAGAGACGCGCCACGCAATGTATTTACTTGTGTCGTGCATTCGCGTATGTACTTTCGCGATGTGTTTCGCGTGGAGAATTGGCGTAGTGTTTTCGCATGGAGTTAGCACGTAGTGAATCCGCGTCGTGTTTGTTCCTGTATCGTGTTTGAGTGTTTGTTGTTTGCGTAGTGTTTTTGCAAATTGTGTTTGCGTAGTGTGTTTCGCGTAGTGTTTTTGAACATCGTGTATTGCGTAGTGTTTTTGTGTAGCGCGTTCGCGTGGTGTATGTGCGAAATGTATTCGTGAAGGGTAGTCGCGTCGTCGATTTGCATGGAAAACGTAGAGTAGTTGAGCAGAACATGTGCGTAGTACATGTCGCGTAGTGTTTCGCGTAGCGAGCGGGGGCGTAGTGTTTACACGTGGGTTAGCGCGCAATGTGTCCGCGTAGTGTTTTTCCGACCCATGAATCCAGACAGGGAGACAGAACTGCGAGGCCTGGGGACGCTCGCCAACACCTCAATCGGGCGATGAGCAATGACAATACTGGAAATATCCGTGGTGACGCCACTGTGCAGAGGGCTGTGGTGTGCTCCTCAGCACTGTGACGCGCCGCGCTTTGACATGGCAGGGGACGAACCACGTATTGTACTTGCGTAGTAGATTCGCGTGGTGTACTCACGTAGACGACCTCCCAAACCACCCTAACCTAACCCGAAGATCCCAATTTCACGAGGGGAGGAAGTGGAGAAGAGGGACGACGACGACGACGACGACGACGACGACGACGACGACGACGACGCGACGAAGATGGCACGATCAGGAACATGAGGTGAGAGCAGCAGCAGGAGCAGGAGCAGGAGGAGCAGGAGGAGGAGGAGCAGAGGAGAGGAGGAGAGGAGGAGGAGGAGGAGGAGGAGGGGGGGGGAACCGGCGGGAGGCCCCCGGGAGCTCCGGGGCTCCAGTGGGGGGGGGGGGGGTGGGGGGGGGCGCCGGCCCTGGAGCCGAGGGCGCAGCGCGAGCGGCCGCCGAGCGCCCCGCCCGCCGCCCCTCAAGAGGTCCTTTTGGCGCCGCGGTGCCGCTCGCACGGGGCGCCCTCGCCCCCTCCTCTGCGGGCCCTCGGAGGACAGGGGCAGAAAGACGGAGGAGGAGGAGGAGGAGGAGGAGGAGGAGGAGGAGGGCAACGAGGAGGACGAGGAGGACGAGGAGGGCGAGGAAGAAGAGGACGAAAACGAGCATGAGGATGAGGAGGGCCCACACGGATGGAGCTGGGCCGGGGCGCCGCGCCCGCGCCTGCGCTGGCCCTGGCCAGGCCCCTCCTGGACCACGGGGTCGGCGTGCACGCCGAGCATGGCGTGGGGCAGAGAAGGCATCTGCACACCGATCATGGGGCGCGGGATCGACGCAGCCTCAGGTCGGGCATGTCCTCCTACAGGCGGACCTTTGGAAAATACAAGGGTACGCAAAGGATACATGCAAAAGCATTCAAGATAGTAGAAGGTCGTCCCCAGACTATTTGTTTGACTATTCTTGAACACTCCTCCTGTAGAAGGATAGGCCCGACTTGAACCTAGCCAAGACTGGTGTCCGTGTCGTGGGGCACGCCGTGGAAGAGTGGGGGGCGAGCGATCCGACACCACGACGCCAGAGGCCCAGGGCCCTCCCTCCTCGAAGAGGATTCGACTCGATTCGATGCGGGCGAAAGGAAGGCGGCCTGTCTCCAATCGGCGGGTGTAACCCGGAGCAGGAAGCAAGGGCTCGAGCAGTGCACGCAGACGCCTTCCTGCGAGCGTGTCCGGGGATGCCAATCTCATGTTCATCCCGTCCGTTCCCTTCCGCCGCATCTCTCCTCCGCCGTGTGCTAGGGGTGGGGGGCACTGCACAGTCATAAAGACAAGCAGAGGTCCAAGCATCGACGGGAAACATCTGGCAAACCCAGGGTTCATGAACACATGATGCGCTATGGGAAAGCCCACGATGAGGATCTGCCTGGTCAGCGGGTCTGGCAAAACGAGGGACGCCACCAGTGCGAGGGAGTTTCCTTTGTTTGATGCCTCCCAAGCAAGATGCGAGCGAGGGGAGGGCAGGAGAGAGAAGCAGGAGGAAGGAGGGATGATTGAGGGAACCTCTGGGGGAAGAAAGGGGGGGCGGAGGAGGAAAGGCAAGGATTGGAGGTTGGGGGCGGGCTCTAGCTGGTGTTGGGCTCTTGAGGGCCCAGTCCTCATCCCTCCTCCTCCTCCACCACCTCCACCTTCCCTATCCTCCTCGTCCTCCTGCTCATCCTCCTCCTACTCTTGCTCCTCCTCCTCCTCCCTTCCTTTTCTTGATAGATAACTCCGCCCTGTCGCACCCTGAAGCCGGTCGAAAGGGCGGGCCCGGCGTGTCGCCTGAGACTTCCTCACACGTTATGACCCTGATGTTTCACAATGGCAGCAGTTTCGAAGATGGAGGGCGGATGGTTTTCAAAGTATGATTCTCGCCTTAGCGCCGCGCCCACTCCCTCTAAAAAATTGCAAGAGCTTCCCGGATTGAGGGTGGGCCGCTTTCAACATGTGGCTCTCGCCTTAGCGCCGCGCCCATTCGTTCTAAAAGTTTGCAAGAGTCTCACTGATTCTCATGATTGGTGCTAGAAGTTGTGTTTGGCAACGACTCAGGATTGTCAGGGCGCAACAGTTACGTTGATTCACGGTGTTTTTTTTGTTTTTTGAAGACGAGAGCATCCTCGAACAGCTCAGTGAGTTCAGTCGCCATGCTTACCTTGCTGGCATCGGGATGCTGCCGAGCAGCGTCTCCCTTAAAGGCACTCAGCGACACTGCAGAGCCGAAGTCTGCCCGAGTTCTGCCAGAGCCGCCTGGATCAGATGCGGGGGCCGCTCCGCAACATCACTGAGGAGCCTCGTCTTCGGCTCGCTTACCATGGCTCGCTTGATAGTTCTAAATCGCCCCATCAAACACGAAATCGTACTGCTACCCCTCGCGGAAGAACAGGTATTTGAAAAGGAGGCGCAGGTAGGCGTAGTCGGTGCGGTCCTCGAAGCGCAGGCTGCGGAAGTAGTTGAGGTACGTCACGAACTCGGCGGTCAAGTGTTTGCACAAGACCTCGATCGGTGTAGGCATCTTCTTCGACATGATATTATCGTACGCTTCCTTCTTGGAGTTGGCCTTACGGCCCTGCCTGGCAGGCTGCCGCGGTTGAAGTACATCAGCACGTGCCCCACCGCCCCCAGATCGTCACGCTCGCTCTGCTCGATGCCGAGGTGCGTGTTCACGCTGGCGTACCTGGCAGTGCCTGTCAAGTTCTTACCCTCGCACCACGGCATGTAAGGTATTGCGGTCCCTGTACTGTTTGGCAAGCGCGAAATCGATGATGTGCATCTGGTTGGCCTTCTTGCCCAGGCCGATGAGGAAGTTGTCGGGCTTAATGTGTGTGATCTCGTAGCAGATGCTGTAGCTGCACTCTGGACCTCAGTATCCATACGACCTCCATATCATGCTTGGTGTATTTGGGCTGGAAACAGATCGTGGACTGCTCGAGCGAGGTACTCCGATCGGTGTCCCTCTTGTTCTTGTTCCAGGGCCACCCCGTCACATTGACCTTCCAGAGATTTAAATAAGTTTCTGCTGTCGAGGTGCTAAGCATGATGGCTGCAACCACGCTTCCTGCAGGCGCAGTTCGTCGCGCAGTTCTTCATCAGGAAGAACACGTGCTGGTTATCGTCGGCGTTCTGGCTGTGCTCCACGAGTTTGCTGGACCAGGCCTTGAAACGTTGTTGAGATAAATATTGCCAAGCAGAGAGGTCTGTCAACGCAATCGTGTTTGGTTTTCCTGGGCATAGATGTCGAGCATTTTCCCAGGTAGCCCCTTCGTTACCACGCCTGTTGTAGCCCTGCAAATTTATAGCCAGCTGGCATCTGGCGCATTTGAGGGACAGTGTACCCATGTCGGGGAATATTTCCAGAAACGAATGTTGATACTCATCCCCCCGGACTTGATGATTCTGAAAAATCACTTCTCTTCTCTGCGTCGGAAGAAACAAGGCAAGGCACTGAGATACGCCTGATCTTCCTCCGGAATCGCATCTGCCAAACTTTCTCTTAGAACATTATGTCGAGG